TATATATATATGAGATAAAATGGTAAGAGGTGCTAACTAAATTTTTAAGAATTACAGTTCACAAGAATCTCTAGAATTTTAAATTGAATTTCAAACCATAAAAGTTTGAACTTAAAATTGAGTATAAGAAAAATTCTGGGTAGAAGGTGCAACTGAAAATTTTAAAAGAAAATTTAAAATTTTATCTGTCGCAATTTCTCTCTTTCTCTTTCTTTCTCCCCTCGTCAGAATTAAATACAAAATGCAGATATTTGTATCTCATATATAGTCATAAATATGAATTTTAAATACGATGCACACGTCCCCGACTATTCTCGCAATTGGTGCAACTTGATACGTAAGTACTTCATTACTGTTCACTACGCCGAGTTCGCGGTGTGCATGCAGATCGCAGCGCAGCAGAGATCGCACTCGCTGAGGCGATCGCGGATGTTGCGAACGCGGCGAGGTTGGTAGCGCCGATTGGCTAGGCGTGACGCTAGGCGCGGAACGCGACGAACCGGACCGAGCCGAACATGGTGCGAGGCGAAACGTGAGGCTGCTCACTACTCCGCGTTGTCTAACGGATATCGATTGGTCCCGGCGTGGGCACCGCGCGCGTCATGCGGCGATCATGAACGGCGTGCCCCCGCGCGACGACGACGACGACGACGACGAGGCCCGGATCGCGAACTCGCCGCGGCCGATTTAGCGTCGAGTAAGTAAGCGTGCTGCGGCATCGTCGTCCATTCGCCTCTCCCGCGTCGAACTAGAGCACGAACGTCTCCGACGTTCTTCTCGAGACGTACACGCAAACCAACCGCGGATCCGTCAACTTGTCCTTCTCACCCGGGCACTGTTTCGAAATGTCCTTCAGCCGATTTATCATGGTGCATTTAATGCCGAGAAATATTTTATTTCTTTTTTCCCTCCGTATTGTTTCCTTGACATCGAGAAGATTCGCGAGATAGTCGTATTTAGCGTTAAATGCGTGTCGAGAATCGACCCTCGTCGTCGCTTAACAGATTTGAATTTGATTAGCTGTCGAGTGACATCGCGAGAAAATTATATAATTACGAGAGAAAAAAAAGTAGTGTTTTTTCTTCTTTCTTTTTCGAAAGATTTTTTTATAACACAGCGAGTATTTCAGTGAATTTTGGATGATTTAGCCTCGACATCTAGGATATGTCTTTGATCATGAATAAAATTATTAGAAGAATTAACCTTTGTGACTCATCTATGAAGTGACATTTTTATGACATTTTAAATCATAATATAGATAATCATGACTCATCCTTTCCCTGTATGTGTACTTAGAACTTTCAGATTACATCGTCATGTTTCTGTTTTAGGATTGCTAATTGCTTTACAACTTGTCATTGCTGTTTTTTATTCATAATGGACCATGCGCAAAGTACAAGCGAATATACAAGTATGGAGTTTGTAAGGCAGTTGTACATTGCCTATAATACTTTTTCTCAGGTTAGATTCATAACATTGATTTGAAGATTTTTTAAAATAAAAAAGATATATGATTCACAGTATTAACAGTCATACACAATTTAAATTTCAGGGGGTAACATGGAAATATCAAAAATTCTGGCTACTATAGACTTTCCAGTGTACAACTGAAGCAAACGAAATCTGAAATGGACTCCCCGCCATCATGTTCACTGAGTGCTGGGCCTCTCAGTGATCTTGGTAGCAGTGGCCTGGGGGGTTCAATATCCAGCGATTCTGTTAGAGCACATCTTGCGATGGAGGTAATGTGTTTATTTTTCTTTTGAATCCTTTTCGAATCAAAGATATCTTTTACTATAGTGCACCAATCTCTCTTTCAGATGCAGGAGAGTGATATAGAGAGCAAATCTCTATCGCAAGATTCTTTTGATTATTCGGATGGCATGTGTGGCGAAAATTTTAACACCCTGAAGAAGGGTCCAGGCTGGGGTGACACGGACGGCAAGTTGGAGGTCGATGTGGCGATCAAGCCACCACCAGAGTTTCAGGATAGTCCGTCACCACCAGACTCGGAGTCTTTGTCGATGCCGATTCTGAATTATGCACGGTTAATGCATAGACGCAGAACACCGCGATGGATCGACGATTATGCCGAAAATCTAGTGCAATCGGTGATAGAGGAAGCATTAGCAATTTCTTGTCGCATCTCTTGGCCAGAGGGTAGGATCGCGCCTGTTACAAATCCAGTTCCAGTCGTGACTCGATCCCAACAGATCAATCTTAAACGCATGTGGGATCTAATGACGCCACCAGTATGCCAGGGAGCTGCTACCATCACTATTACTCCGTATAATACACTGAACCGGCCAAATTCACGCTGCTCTCTGGCTTCCTCGCGGCTATCCAGTTCACACAATTCCATCAATACTACTGGGCTTGGGCATAAGGCTGATGATAGCAGCTTCATCACATCCGCGATGTCGCATGATGTGTTAACTACAAGTGAGATTAGCGACATGTACAATGTACCCTTTGATTCGGACATTTACACAGTGCCAATCGACGTGGTGCGACCGCTGCATGATTTGCGAACGCCACAGAGACCCAAACGACATCGACATCATCGCAAGAGACGGCGAAACGTTTCCGCGAGTTCGCAGAGCGAGTTGGAAGCACACATCCAGCAAGCACGTCATTATTGTGGCAAGTCTCGCGCCATCACGCATGTTATTAAATCGCAGCGCCTGTTGGCTGATGTGTGCTGCAACGAGGGCAATCCTACTGTCGGTGGCGGCAGTGGTGGTATTGGTGTTGGCAGTGGCAATAGCGGCGGCAGCGGAGGTGGAGGTAGTGGTGGCGGTAAAAGACACAGCGTGCCAGGCACTTCCGGTCGTCATAATGTCAAAGCATCAAATGGACATGCACACAATATCGGTGAGCCGATCCACATGACACTACACGAGGTGCGACAGTACCTGCAAACGTTGTACTCGAGCTCTAGCGATTCTAGTGAAAACAAGATCAAACGAGACAAGGCTCCTCTACTAGGCCATACGCCGGTACATCTCGCAGCAACACCCAAGCCCCTCAGTGTAAATAATAATAATAGGTAAGTACAATTTCTGTTGACAAAAAGAGATTTTTTAAAAATATATTTTTTATATTTTATTTTTATATTTAAAAAAATATTTTTTCTAGTGATATAAATTGTAAATATTGTTTGGTATCATCTACTTTTGATACTTTAAATGTTTTTGGCTGCTGTCAAATTGGCTGTGATAATAATAATACCTAATGCTATCTAATAATAGGTATAACAGTAATGCGCACACGGACTCGTCCACGGATACACCGGTGTTCAATAAGAGTACTAGCAACGGCCTGATGATCCACCACCATAATAATAATAATAATAATAATAATAATAATAATAACAATAATTCTAATAATGCAAAGAAGCATAAAAGAAACGCATTCGTTGGCATTAGGCACAAGAAAGTGCGTGACGAATCGCATAAGGAGAAGAGTGAATCTGAAAGGGAAAAGATAAAAAAAAGTCAGCGTAACTTCTCACTAAATCTCAAGCAGACGCTCTGTAATATCTTCCGATTTCGACGACTAGGCTCTCCGGACCACTTTGTAGAAAAACGAAATAGCATCGTGCAGGGTGAAATTGTTGAGGAAGAAGAAGGTGTTGACTCTGACCAGCATGCAAACAACAATAACACCGCTCCGTCTGAGGTAGAGCCGTCCGCACAAAAGTTGCCATTTTTCAAGCGCGCTCTGCCACCTTTGCCTAAGAGTAACAGTCAAGTCGGTGTGGAGCAGGCAGAGGAGGCCCTTACAGCGATGGCACCCAAGTGCGAATCTCCGAGTTCGGCACAGCAGCAAGTTCCATCGATCAGACCAGAAGCCGTGCGACCAGAAGAGGATACTGCGGAGGATACAAGCATGGATTTCGCAGCCAGTATCGAGAAAGTGAAGGATGTATGTAAATTCTATTTCTTTCATTGATTTAATTTTAATACAAAAAATATTCCATAATGTTTTCTGAAATAGTACGGATGGTATTGGGGACCTATATCGGGTGAAGCGGCGGAGAAAATACTATCCAATGAGCCAGATGGCTCTTTTATTGTGCGAGATAGTAGCGACGATCATTACATCTTTTCCTTGTCGTTCAGACTCAACAGCTGTGTACGACATGTAAGGATAGAACACGATCAGGGTGAGTCCTATTATACTTATAAACTATATTTTAAGATTCTTGATAAAACCTGTATCCTTTAAATAAATTTCTTTTTCACCATACAGGTAATTTTAGCTTCGGCAGCTGCACAAAATTCAAATCGCATACTATTGTTGACTTTATTGAGAACGCAGTCGAACATTCGCGCAGCGGTCGTTATCTCTTCTTCTTGCATCGGCGACCGGTCCTGGGCCCGATGCGAGTACAGCTGCTCCATCCAGTATCGCGCTTTAAACAGGTACAGAGCCTGCAGCACACGTGCAGGTTCGTCATCCTGAAGATGGTGCGCAGGGACTTGATCCCGACTTTACCATTACCCCGCCGGCTCATCGACTATCTCAGCACGCCCCATTATTACAGCGAACAGTTGGCTGCCGAACAGGATGACCGAGCCGAATCACCAGTCAGTTCGTCGACCGGCGAACTGGAAAAGATCTGTTTCACGCCACAGGGTCTCTCGTGAGGTACAACTGTGTGACTTTTTCCTCCTCCTTCGCTCCGCTCTCTGTGCAAAGAGATACTTGCGCTGAATGCCGCCTTCGGCGTTAATGCAAATTTAATTCAGTTTAATTAAATATCCACAATATGTAAAAATTGTCGCCGTTTGATTCTGCCGACGAGCAAAAATTTAAAAGGTCGCCGAATTAAATTTTGTCGAATGTAAAATTTCATCTACAGCTGCGTTAATATGAATTATTGATACACAGTTACTGATACTAATTCATTTCGCAGTTAAATTATATTTTGTTTAATATAAAAATATATTTTGTTATTTGATTAAATTCACGTCAATGCGTAAGAATTTAATTTCTTAACTTAATTAAATATTTGTTAATATATAAGAATTCAACATTTGTTATTGAATTATATTTAAAAAAAAAATGTAGCAAAGTTTAATTGAATTGCCAAAAATTTACAAAAATTTAATTGATGATTGAATTAAATTTTTATTTATTAGAATTTAATCTGTGACTTAATTGGATTTTTATTGTCGTCGACAATATAACATACGGTTAATAATTTTGCGCTTGTGATTTTGATTTTGACGATTTACGGCGTATCGATTCGTAAAGTGAGTATTGTGATTAAACTTGAAAGTAGAGGAATATATAGACAAATTTCCGTGTGCACCATATATCTAGAACTGCAAGTTATGGTCGTCTAAAATTACTTGATTTGATTGTCGAGGGAAAGAAATCGATTTCATTCCGTTCCAATAGAAGTCGTAATATTGCATGTCGTGATATTCATTCTATATATGTATTTCGCTGACATAAGATTTTCTGAGATAATAATTTTTTTTTCGAAAGATAAACGCGATTCTCTGTATAGCTTATATCGCAGTTAGAAATAAAACTGTCTGCGTGGAACAATTATTAACCAAAATAGATAATTGAAGAGAGATTTGCAATGAAATCATTTCTTAATCTCTTGCCAAATGTTGCTTGACGATCACATCTCTGTTTAATTTAATTTATTCAATACAACTTTAGAGACAAACGGAAAAAGGAAACACGCGAGTTCAGCGTAAACAATTTTGTATAGTCCTTTCTAGTTCAGTCCCTTTTTATTAACTATAACGAATGGCAAGATACATGTGACAGAAACCACGCACAAAATATCCATTTATACATATAAGTACATATATAAATACATACACGTATATATTCAGAAAGAGAAGAAAAATACACGCACATACACACACAAAATGGTTGGATAAAATTTTTTATGCCATACTTGCCATTTTCTGTTTAAATTTGTGCGAATTCACATTAATATTTTATGATTGAAAAATATATTTAGTATTTATATTCATTGTAATTATACTTTTGGTTAAACTTTCGGCAGTAAACAGAATACTCTTTTAATTCAGATTGTATTTGGAATCAATTTAATTGATTTAAGTGAATTAATTATCACAAAATCAAGTTAATAAACAGAAATGTGAGGTAATCACATTTTGAAATTTTTGAATTTTTTTTTACGAATCGATTACGCGAAATTATTGAAAGTTATTTCGATTGAAAAAGCTTTTATAAGTATATATAACCAAAGAGAATTCGGGCAATATATAAAGGGTAGCTAATGTCGCAATGCGCAATTCGAATATTATATAATTTTTATTCGTTTAAGTATAACCAATTTAAGACTAATTAATATTTAATTGATAGAAAAGAAAGTAGCGAAACATTAGTAACTGGTGCTATATGTGAAATTACATTCTTCATTTTCATATGTTATGTAAAAATATATATACGTTAGTTTAAACGATCACGCGTTTTTATGCTTGTGCTCAACCAAGTTT